AACCTCTGTCGTAGTTCTATAACTCCTATTATGCAAATCTTAACGATTTATTCGAAGTATACCTGTCAATGGTGGTCAAAACCAAATATCTCAAAATTATTTTCTTGTGTACATGGTGGCCCAATAGTAAATTAGGCAAATCACTTATTTTTTTTTAAATGGAATGACCCAACTTTTTTTCCAATTTTAGGTACTCTATGGTCACTAGTGCATACCCACAAAATATTGTTTCTAACATCGCAGAAAAAAAAGAAATACCAAAAAATATTACATTTTCAGACGCCTATTAAAATTTTAAGGTGAAGGGGGGAGAAAAAGTCCTTTATATCTCACAAGGAAAGTCCAATGTTTAATTATTCAACAAAACATTGAGTGCGACCGGTTTCGAAGTAAGGTGTACACCACATATTCTCCTTTCCACTAGGCGAGCCTGAAGATGAAGTGATGTTACTTCGAAACCGGTCGCACTCAATGTTTTGTTGAATAATTAAACATTGGACTTTCCTTGTGAGATATAAAGGACTTTTTCTCCCCCCTTCACCTTAAAATTACTTCAACTCACACATGGCTACCCCCCTTGTCAAGCCTATTAAAATATGCAGTGCTCTCTCGAATTTGACGTTAGAATTTAAAAAACTACAAACTTATAACGCCAATAGACCAAAGATTTTTTTAGACCAAGTTTTAATTTTTTATTTTGTACAGGGTGGTCACAAATTAATTTCAATTTCCAAAAATTTCTAGGACATTTTTTTCAAATTTTTCAAATAGAACACCCTGTATTACTATTCATCGATGAAACGAGAATTTTATACCCTTCGACTTCCCCATGTACTTTCTTATACCTATCTGTCGTCGTTTAAAAGTAAATTCCAAAAAGACATTGATCTATCAAAAATTCCAATTTCTACCAGTGGTTTTATTGAAAGTGAACATTCAATCAAGTAGGCTGGGTCTTAATGAAGTGTAAGATTATTTATTAATGAAGTGTCAAGTTATTTTTACTGTTCGCGATAATTCTTTTATTAATAATGAATTTTACGAAAAACGAATTAATTGATATGGTCTACGTATGTTTTGGGAGAATCCGACAGAAATTGTTTATTGGCAAAAAGAATTTATCATCAACGATATCCCGATAGACGCATCCCTGATCAAAAAAGTTTTGAAAAGTTACATGAAAGATTTACCGAAAAAGGAAAGTTGCTTATAAAAAACCAATAATTGACAAACGTGCTACTGATAATGATAACCAATTATCTGTAATTTTGACAGCGATAGAAGATCCTCATGTAAGTCAAAAAAAGATTGCCGAAGTAGTAGGTATAAGTAGAACATCCGTTAGAAGGATTTTAAAACAGCTTCAATATCATCCTTATAAAATACAATTGCATCAAGAGCTGAAAGACACCGATTTTGATAATAGAATGATGTTTTGTAACTGGGCACAAACTAAACTGCAACAAAATCCATTTTTTTTTTATAGAGTGCTGTTTTCTGATGAATCTACATTCCACAAGAAAGGATTCGTTAATAGACATAATTTCCACTATTATTCCACGGAAAATCCTAACATCATCAGAACACATAGCCAAGAAAGATGGAGTGTAAATGTTTGGGGAGGTATATTTGGGGATCGTGTTATTGGGCCGTATTTTTTTGAAGGCAACTTAAATGGTCTGATGTATTTAGATTTTTTAGCAAATCATCTTCCTACTTTACTTGAAAACATTTCCCTTGCTGTAAGACTAACAATGTGGTACCAACATGATGGGGCAGCAGCGCATTTTTTACGCGAAGTGGCAGATGAATTAGATGAAAAGTTTCCAAATAGATGAATTGGTAGAAATGGTCCAAAAAAATGGCCAGCTCGATCACCTGACTTAACAAAACCCGACTATTTTTTGTGGGGTTATATAAAAAATCTAGTCTATCTTACGCCACCTACAACACCTGAAAATATGAAAGAAAGGATAGTGCAAGCTTTCCATTCCATTACACCTGATATGCTTAGAAACGTTTCTCGATCATTCGCCCAACGAATAAATGTATGCATTAGAGAAAATGGCAGACATTTTGAGCATCTTTTATAAAATGTAAATTTATGTTTTAGGATAAATTTCAAATAAATTTTATTATCGTAATTTTCTTCCTTTTGAATTTATTTTATAACGGCGACAGATAGGTATAGGAAAGTACATAGGGAAGTGAAAGGGTATGACATTCTCCTTCAGTTGATGAATAGAAATACAGGGTAATACATTTGAAAAATTTTAAAAAATTTCCCTCGAAATTTTTGGAAAGTGAAATTAATTTGTGACCACCCTGTACAAAATAAAAAATTCAAACTGGGTCCAAAAAGATCGTTGGTCTATTGGCTTTATACAATCGTAGTTTTTTAAATTCTAACATCAAATTCGAGAGAGCACTGCATATTTTAATAAGCGTCTGAAAATGTAATATTTTTTGGTAATTTTTTTTTTCTGCGAAAGGGGTGGGATGTTAGAAACAATATTTTGTGGGTATGTACTAGTGACCATAGAGTACCTAAAATTGTAAAAAAAAGTTGGGTCATTCCATTTAAAAAAAATTAAGTGATTTGCCTAATTTACTATTGGGCCACCCTGTACACAAGAAAATAATTTTGGGATATTTGGTATTGGCCACCATTGACAGGTATACATCAAATAAATCGTTAAGATTTGCATAGTAGGAGTTATAGAACTACGACAGAGGTTTGGCCAACCCTGCATATAGCTACTAATGGAATTTTCATTAGAATTATAGTTTTTATTTAAAATTTAAAAATTTTTATTTCCCTCTGTTATGTCTATATTTTTGTGTAATTTTAGAAATAAAAAAAAATGAAATATGGTTGTTTTTTTAAAACTAATTTTATTTATGTTAGAGTAAAAATAGTGTTTGAATCTTGTTCTTTTTCTATTGAAATTTGAATATTTTTTAAATTTTATTCTCTTTCTGTTACATTTATAAATTCTTGGCTTTTTCATTATATTAACCTTTAGTTCATATACTTGAACTTTGTCTATTTTTTGATCCAATTTAGGATGTGAATTGGCAAATTATTGCAGAACTATTTTTTTTACATCCAAGTATGCTGTTTCTAAACTGTTAGGTTCTGTTTTAATCTGTTTTGAATTTCCACCTTTTATTTCTAAATTAGAAACTTCTTTTTCTACAAATTTTTTTACCAAAATATTAATAACTGTGTCTAACGCAGTACCATCTTTTGCTGGAGTCATATATTCCAGTGTCTCACATTTATAAGGCTTTTGAGAAAGAATATTCTTTATTTTATTTATTTGCTGAGTTCTGGGTTCAATTGAAACTGTGTTATTATAGTTAGACTATTTAGAAGCCCCTGTCTTATGATAATAAAGTGGAATATTTTCAAATGGTGTAACAATACATCCTTGTTGAATAATTATATTTTGATTTTGAAAATTGCGAAAAGAATTTTGGTTTTGAAAATTGCGAGGAGAGTTTTGAAAATTGCGAGGAGAGTTTTGAAAACAAATTGCAAAGCCCCACTAAGTGTGGTTGGCTTCATGCATCTTATTGTTGTCCCTAAGGGTTCTTTTAATCCTGACAAATATCTTTTTAGGTTTAAATTTTGATATAATTCTCGTTTAGAATTTGGTCATACCTAATTTTCATGTTATTTAGATAAAATTAAATAATGAATAGTAAATAATGTTTAACATAAAGACTCATATTTAATTAATACCAACAGTATTTTCTGTACTTTAGTTAGCAATTAACACAAAGACTTATTTACAATAACTGAAATCAACAGTATTTTCTGTGCTTTAGTTAGCAATTAACAATTTGATTTTTATTATTTTCATAAAATTTTGTAAAATCCCTAACTAAATATTTTCATCTAAACCGTGTCTTAGTATACCCTCAGCCCTATTTAGCTTTAATTAAAAAATAATTAGCCCTACCCATCAAATTACATCAATAATTTGCATTTTACTTAAATAGGAATAAATTTTTAATATTGTATCAATTAAAATATGTAAGACTTATTTAGCTAAAAACACGTTTATTTTTATTATTTTGACAAAATTATGTATAATTCCCCTAAGAAGCTATATATTTTGAACTACGTAAACCGTACCAGCTCCCATGCAATTAATTATAAAAGTTCAATTAACGTGTGATTTTTGAGACCGTATTTTGAGCATGCCGATTCGCCTCCTCATCTCTAGTCTTCATACACGACAGTAATGCCAAGTTTTACAGCAACGCCACCTGTTTTCACAAACAGCTACTTATTGATGGACTCTCGTATATTTTATTATTATTGACTGTCACTACTCTTTTGTCGCTATAAAATATAATATTATCATCGGTAACAATCAAATTTCCAGTTACCATACGAACAGTTATAAAAAATGTCGAAGATAGCATTATTTTATATTGGATCACCCTGTATTTCTAAATGTTTCTCGTATAAATCACAGTACGAAAACATTACATTAAATCTGCAGAAAATTTCACACGAAATTTTTTTATAATAACCCATCACGTAAACCACCAAATTACTCACTCTATTTTAGAGGAAATGATAACAATCACAAAAATTACTCTTTAATTATCAAACAAGAAAGAAAGTTATTTTTTTAATACTTATTCGTTAAAGAAAGTCAGGTAATATTTTTTTTTTAAAACAGACATGCATAATTAATATTAATTGTATGTAAAGCTATTCTTAAAAAACTAATTCTGGGACATCATCTGTCTATCTGAGCCATTAATATCGATGAGATATGTATTTATACTTCAATGAATTTTTTTTAATGTCTGCTTTTTTGCCAGGTCATTGTGGGTTACCATACCCATTGAATTCTTCCGACTTTTTCTAATTTTTTCATCTCAGTGGGTGTGAAGATTGCGTATAAAACTAGAACGAAAATTTAAATTGGATTCTGTTGGTTTTTGACCAGCGAAAGTGAAACATAAACGGAGTGGCTATGAAGAGCATAGTGTTAGTGTTGTTTTTAGTGTTATGTGCTTATGCACTAGACGATTTTGAAAATACCGGTGTTCGGTTAGCTTTGAAAATTTACGATGATTGTTCGAAAACCGATGGATTTTCACCGTGTTTAAAGAAAAAAGCCATCACGTTCCTCGACAGATTAGGCCGCATGGATAATCTGTCCCTAGCCGATGGAGTAGTAGTTCAAAAAACTGCCGACGCACCCAAAGATGAACCTGCCATTACCGAGGAACAACTAGACCAAACTCTTCCTAGATCATCTGAAGGCAAAGATGCAGCCCTTACCGAAATGCTGATGGACAAAATTAGTAAATTCTTTGGATCAAGATCAATCGAAGTAGCTTTACCGAGAATTGATGCATCAGTACTTACCGAAGCAGGTAAAAACATTAAATATACTGTATAAATAGTTATTTTCTCAAATTAGATTCATCAAAAAATGTTTTAAACTTTTAGATTCTTAATTGAAGTTTAAATCTTCATTTAGGTAGCTTCGGAACGTTTCAATATGTGTATTAAAAATAGATTACAACAGACTAAATTTTATAGTATGTTGTATTTAAGAAAAAAATAAATCTGTGTAACTGGGAAATCACATCAATTATTGACGTAGCTATACAGGGGCTATGGGAGAACACAACTACCCTAGAAAGTTGCGATTTATTGTATCTAATTAAAAAACTAAAAAAACCTCGATTGCGGATAAACATTACAGTCAAGACGTTGTAAAAGTATTCTTAAAACGAATCCGTGAAACCCCCTGTAAATTAGTGGGATTTGTAGTGATTATATTAACTATTTTCTAGTGCCAAATCGATCACTGATTTACCCAGTCATAGACCTAACACTGAAAATCACACAATCACTAAAAAGACACTGATTTATTTTAAGAAAGTATATTATGTTATGTTGGGACTGGGGTGTTAAATGACTGTGACCTAAAACATCTATTGTGTCCCCTATGGCCACTAATTTAGCAAGAAAATGTATCGATTCCTATAAAGTCCCTTCCAATGCTATCTTCTCCAGGAAATATAGGATTCGGAGTAGCTTTAAGTTAGGTAAATTTCCCTTTTCTATTTAATATGCTCCTAGAGTGCCTTTGGAATCTGGGGTGCTACAAACTCAGTAAGAATGTGAATGAAAATTTTGTCCTCCTTACAAAATTTGCAATGACTATCTCCTACTACTTTCAGTTTAGTAACGTGTCCTTTAAGTCGGCAATACCTGTTACAATGCGTAGCCTGTTCTTGCTCAGGTAGATACAGGATTCTGGTTATATTTACCAAGACATATCTTAGCCTGTTTTAGTCCCAAGACATTACTTCAGTTATCAGTTCTTCTACTCCCAAATTCTGTTTTTTTCTCTCTCCTAATATTGTGTTATAGCTGACATCGCCGAACGGCTTAGGTCCTACAAAGGGTTTTGAGCCCCTTTCCTTGCAAGACTATCTGCAATCTCGTAACCCTTTACACACGTTATGTTACAAGACCCAAGTGAGGGTAAATGTATTTTCCTCGCCTAGCTCATTCAATTTTTTCTAAGGATCCCAGACCATTTTTGAGGTGATTACGTAAGAGCTTAGCGCTATTATGGCTGCTTGACTATCGGACATGATGATAATCTCTTTTCTACAATAGTTTCTCTTGATGTTAAGCTTGATAGACTTCTTAATGGCGTGAATTGCCGCCTAGGTATTTTACCAAACTTTTAGAGTACCTGGTTCTAGGCCCATAAACTCCTATTCTAGTTCCTAGTTCTATAGTTTTAGAGCCATCCGTATACCACTAAATAATATGTATTCTGCTTGCAAGCACGATAAATTCTTGGCTACATTCTTTTTTGCAGCCCAAAATTGTACTTCTTTCTTATTTCATCTTGGGGCATATGACTTTCTTCTAATTACTCCCGTTCCTGATCATTCTATATCCTGTTTAATTTGTCACGTTTTCTGTCATTAAATGTAGAATGATGAAGTTACGCTAGCCTTTGTACTTTTGAGATAAATGATGATTCGTCTCACAATTGCTGTGTACATCCATTGCAGTATGTTTGGGTAACTACACCTCCATCTGTTACTTGCAATGTTTCTGCATGCCACTGGGGCTTTTGTGGCCTTATTTCGTAATTCCTTTTTATGTATATGCCAGCGGAAACTCCCTAGCCTTTAAAATGAACATTCCAAATAAAAAAAAATGTTCATTTAAAGCTATTCTACGTTAAGTAAAAAAAAAGTTTCTATTTGCTCAAATACCATAACCAATAAATATATATTTGTTGACCAGCTGCCTGTCCATATCTTCTGTCTGCTGAAAACTCCATACTATTCCTATTCAATCTTTAGGAATGCAATGGAACTATTCTTTTGGTACACTAGCGCAGGCTACACCATTTTCAACGAAGGATCCAAAGAAGGAACATTGTACATTTGAAGTGAAGGAAAGCCAGTAGATCTATAAAATGGATTTTCTTCAGTTATTTCTTTCAGGTTTCGGAAAAGATAATGAATTAAACTTAAATGAATTTTTCAGTCATATCAAAGAAGAATTGTGAAAGAACTTCAACGTATGTTATGTCTAGTCTTGTTCCCAACGTAATATTAAATGACTAACGTTATTTTATTAATAAAGTGATTTGTCAGTTCTCTTATCGGTATATATTGCTTTTTCTGACTTGGATACAATATCCATATGTATAGTACCATGTGTGTGTGAGAGAAAGAATGTCATTAGACTAAGTCTGTTTGCCACAAAATAAGAAATATATATTTACAAAACCTGATGAAGCTATTTAAGTAAGAGATATAGAAATATTCAAAATAGGTTTGACCTGACTTTATAAAAAGTACATTCATAAAGGAAAAACTCAAAGTATTTACCACAAAGTAAGCTACTTTGAGTATTATATTTTTTTATAAATCCAAAAGAAAAATAAAATGCATTCTTTCATTCTCATTCCTATACCTGGTTTGACAAAATAAACAATTTTTGATAGACCATTTTTTTATTGTGAAAGAAAATTTTACCAACCATCAGATTTTCTTCAAACAGTACACAAAAAGTTTAGAATTCTATTTTAGTGTAAAAATAAGTATCCTTAACATAAAAATATTAGTATTCGAAATGATGAAGGTAGGTATTCCCAAATAATAAAATAAAAACTTTGAAAAATAATAGACTAAAGAAACTATATGCTTTTTTTCCTTTAGTGCCTCTGTTATTAGTTTTTTACTATTTTCATACATAGATATGGGTTCAGAATGCTAATACATTTTTCATATACACCGATACTATATAAAGGTATTTGAAGATTTAATAACGAACCTGAAATGGCGTTTGGCCCAAATTAGCACATCAAACTGCAGACTAGGAATCTTGACAGTCAATGTCACGATGGTCTAGTCTAGAGATACAAAACAAAGATATCTGAGTTTGAATCCTAGCGCTGACAGGCTTTTTTTCAAATCTATAAGTATGTATTTTCACCTTTGGGGTTTGGGGATGGTCTTAATAATTTGTAGGGGCATTTTTTAAATTGGTTTTTAAATTTTATAATTATTTCAACTTTACTATTAGTTTCTAAAACCTTGATGAGTTACTTTGTGGTATAGACTGAGTTTTGCCTTTCCTTTACTGATATATTGCATTTAAGATATCGATAACATTCTTATTCTCAAGAACATATATGTTGAAATAAATGAACTAGACAATATTAAAGTAATATAGGTCTCATTAGTATTTTCTCATATTACTAGGGGCTACAGATCTAGAATCATTTATTGTAACTAACTAACTTTTTATGATTCGTCCAATTTTTTGGCTGCTATCGTTCCAGACATCTAAGAATCAAAAACGAATAACAGAGGAAATTGTGCATGGAATTCAAACATTTATTACATTTATATTTTCGGGTTGATGTACACAAAATGGAATTATGCTGTTTTGGTAAAAGCAAGTAGAAGATATTTACAAAAAACTTCAAAACTATGCATTTTACTAGGAAGTTAATTCAATATCATATCAAAGAAAATTAGGATTTCTACATTTTATGTATTTAAGGTTTTTTATACTCAACAGTTCAACCTTTAGAATAACCTGAACAAATTCTCAACGCAAAAATCTTGAGGTTGAATCAAGCGTTGTTACTGTTAGAAAGGCCATACACTTTTTCTCCTCTACTAACTCTTCTTTAGGTCTGCCAAACGTACAATTCATGATTGGTTTCTTTGTCCAAGTAGTCGATCTCATTTTCAAAGACTACTGGGTTTTTATCGCAGCTTCACTCGCAATTGCGGCACATGGAGTAACAAAGCACCAGCAGGACATCATTTTCAATATAGCTGGAGATAGTTGAATATAACAGGATTGTAACAGGATTAAGAACCGTTGTCTTTTTCCATCTTTTGTTATCAACTCCCTAGTAAATAATATATGGGCGATGGAGAGAGTTCAAGTTAATTTTCTGCTTTCTGCTAAAATTTTACTTAATTTTTTATCAATGTCACAACAAAAGTTGCATTTTTGTTTACTAGTTACGTTAGATTAGATTATAAAGGAGTTAGGCATTATTTTTCCTTTTACACCGTGACCTTTTAGATCTATTGTGTGACGTTATGTAAGTATTTCGTTTAGCTTGGTCTTTTTGACTAGACTTAACAACTTTGACAGTGGCTGCTACATGCAACTGGCCTTTTTTCATCTAGCCTTAGAAATCTCAATCTAGCCAGACCTTTACACTAGTACAGGACTTGGATTGATATTTCCTCTTCTTTTTCAGATTTTCACAAAAACTGCACAATATTGTTTCTACTGCTAAATATATCAATGTACTTTATAAGGCAATAGTATTCAATAAAGAAGACCTACTGTTATAATAACAATTTATTGTTTTTGATCCAGTGCGTTTTTCGTGAACTTGGCCAACGGTTTCTTAATGAACTCTTTGGTCTATCTCAATCTTTGGATAGTTGTTTTACCTTTCCTAAGTCTCTTTTTGCATGCATTGTTGAATGTCATAGCAACTCCAAAGAAGATTTAGGGCCCTGTCATAGCCTTATCTGAGTCGTCGCGGTATTTTCATTGCTATGGTATCCTTCATGGCCTGGTACCTGGGCTAAGGTCATTTTGTCTCTAGTTATTCTTTTATTATCAGTGGTGGTTTGATTTGTAGGAAGTGAATTGCCTTAAGAGCTTCTTGGTTATCAGAATAGATGGCAATAGTTTTGCCTGATACTTTATAATGTTGTACTTCAGTCTATTGCGCAGTCTCCTAGACTCATCTAAATCGTTTATTTCTTACTGTTTCTTAAGTAAAAAATCAACGCAATAAAATGAAAAAGATTAAACCTCTCCAATTTTCGGAGGCTGTACTAGTAATAATTTTCAAGATATATTAACTATTTTTGTACGGCTTGTATTGTTGAGTATATACATTGACTATCAAAAAATTAAGGTGTCATTGAAGTTGTCATATATTCTTTTTAATTTTCGATTTTAAGCTTAAATTGTAAATAAGCCTATAATATTTTCTTAACAAAATTTAACATTTATTATGAATTCAAACAACTCTCTTAAATGGAAATGAAATAACGTGTATTACCTCCTCTTGCGTTAATGACTATTTATAGTCGACGAGACATATTTTGAATTTAATTAAAGATCATATTTTTATCAATGATATTCAACTCCTACAAAAGCAACTCTCTTAGTTCCTAAACAGTTCTTAGAGATGGTGTACGCTTCGAATACGTCGTTCCAACTTATCTCAGATATGTTCGATGGGATTCATGTTTGTAGTGCGTGCTGGCCAATCAAACCGCCTAATTTCTACTTTATCCAGGTATTCACTTAGACAACTCTGGCAGCATGTGACATGGCATTATCATACATAAAAATGATATGCTTGTCCATAGTAACCATGAAAGGTACAATATGGTATCTAAAAATCCATGTACGTGTGAGCTGCTAGAATACTATTTTGTATAAAAATCAACTCTGAGCTATCTTGTAAAGTGATGTCTTCCCAAACATGTCAATACAAACTGGGACATATCTTTCTCCGAGTCTTCTTAATATTTGCCGACGTCTGTTTGATCCAGTGAGACAAAAACAAGACTCATCTGTAAACCGTACGTTGTTCTAGCCATCATAATTCCATACCAAGCTGATTTTGTAGCAAAAACGCAGAAGGTATTCTATTCTGCAAAACTTGAGATTACTAAAAATTGATAATATCTTTGGTTGGTAGGATCCAGGCCGCCTGGTTATAAGACCTGTCTTCAGATAGTGATGGAACACATTTTGTACAGTCCATAGACTTTTACCAACAATTCTTGTTATTTCACGTTCTCCTCGACCAACTTATGTCAACGTTACAATTAATGGCATAACAATAGGATCCAAAAGCATTATGATCTGGTAAATAGTCTACGAAATATACCGTTAAAGATATAAGTTATAGAAAGGGAAATTAATTACTTAACTGCAAAAACTATGCCTACTGTGCCAACTAGACCAATGATTCTTTGATTAATTTTATTTTGAAAATTATTTAAAATTTCATAAATGACCAAATTTTTGCTCGCCGGTACATGCTGCTGTACATACAACCGAGGATATGTATTGCACACTACTAATTCTATACTTCTGCTATACGAAACATATCTCCAAGGATATGTACAGGATGACACTTTTTAACTGTATAAATAAAGGTCAATAAAATAAACAACTTTTTCATATAACTATCTCAAAAATACTTAAAAATAAGAAACTTATTTATTTATTTATTTAAAAATGTATCCAGTATGGTCATATCTCTAATTAATCATATTAATAATAACACTTTTCCTAATTCACCCCCTTAGTAGTGAATTTTAACTCCAAAAGCTAAGCATGTCCGGGGAAGGGACGGTTATTACAAAAACCCACCTCTCATCATATCTAACTTAAATCATATGTTCATGGCCTTCCAAGATGTCCTTCATGATGTTCCCCAGTCCGTTGAGCCTTAATAAGAGAAGTTCTGGAACTAGGATAAGCTTGTATAAAATCGATACCGCAGCACTTTGAAGACATTCGAAACAAATAAGCAACATGTACACAATTTTGTTATTGACCTAATTTACCAAACTGAATTATTTAAATTCACTATTTTCGATACACACGCTACCGAATTCACACGCGACTGAACTATAGTAACCGGTAGACAATGAAGTCTGAGTCATAAGATAAACCGAAAACAAAAAGGGTAAAGAGAAAGAGAGAGACCAAAAAGAAGAAAAAACCTAAACAGACAGTTAACTTTTCACATACAAGTTCAGGCTCGGATTAAGATTTTTTATATTGTTTGATTTATTTTTGAGTTTTTTGAAAAAGATGTTTATTTTAACGACTTTCATACACAGTATCGACATGTATCGACTTTAGATTCACCCTATATATGACCGTAGTCATGTTAAATATTGAGTCCCATTTATGTTGCTTCTTTCACTCGCTCTGTACTAAATATTATGTGTATTTTAAATATTTATTTTGATATAACTTTGAATCCATTATTTTTCAGGTCGTTTTGGTGACTTCGGCGACGGTGGTGGAGGACATGGCCATCACGGTGGTGGTGGCGGCGGAGGCGGCGGCGGCCATGGTGGTGGACTTGGCGGACTTGGCGGACATCACGGTGGCGGCGGCGGCGGTAAAGGTAAAGGAAAGAAGAAAGGAGGCGGCGGAGGAATGAATGGAATAATGATGTTAGTCGGCGCAAAAATGGCAACCTTAGGATCCGTAGCGATCGCAGCTTTATTCCTTTTAGTCAAGAAAGCGTTTATCGTTGCTAAACTGGCCCTTCTCATATCCGGAATAATTGGTATCAAAGAACTTTTAGCTAAAAAACAGGGAGGCGGTGCCAGCGTAATAACTGTAGGTGGAGGAGGCGGTGATCATCACCATGGAGGCGGCGGTACGGAGTATCACGTCGCTGGAGGTGGTGGCGGCGGAGGTTGGCAATCCAGTGGAGGAGGCTGGGACAAGAGGTCGTATGATGCAGCCAAACTAGCATACAACGCTTTTGGTCCGAAATAATTGAACTACGTGATTTAGTTAGTATAAATATGCGTTTTAATTATTTTTTAAATCCAGGGTGGCTATGAAAGTCAAATATCGCTCACTCTGTCTAGTAATACTGAAATGTCAAAGTTCTACTTGTTCGTAAACAGTCCCATCTGAAAATGTAGGGTTGTCATATTACTTTACGTTTTTCTTTAAATATTTTAAACCTTTTACATTTCTTACTCGTTACATTTCATTTTTGTTGCATTTAATTTTAATTTTTTAACTTGAACTAGTCACTTTATTGAACAATATATACCTTTTCATAATTTGCACCCGAGGAAGATAAAAGAGTATCATTTGCGTAAAGATTTATTAATATTCTTTTGTATCATGCATGTGAACAAAAAAGAGTAACGGGCCCAGTACACTACCTTGTGGAATTCTATATTATAAACACATTTGCCACTCTATATCTTAAGAGGAATCAAACAATTTTAGACAAAGTTGTTAAAACAGTGGTTGAACAAAAAATTCTCTGTTGACAAAAACATATTGCATTTTTTTTCATATTACAAATTGGCACGATGCTTCAAATGTAAACATATTGATTTATATTAAAATTACATTAATTAAATCAATATTATACACAATGAATGTTAAATTTCCACATACACTTTGGATTTGAATAGTAAACAAACAGCATATAGCTAAGAATTTTGTACAGATATATTTGACCGATTTTTTGGTCAGTAATTTTTAATTTATTTTATTATAGTTTGAAAAACTAAAGTTTTTGTGAAAATCATAAAATCCATTATTATACGATGGGTACATTATTTATTACTGATATTTATATAATTTATTTTTGATTTTAAACTGTTATGTTAACTATGTTTTTATAGAATTTAAGAAATAAAAATGTTAAATTATTGTTTGTCTTTATATTTTTACCAAATCCTCCTGCTAGAGGTGATTGTACCTTTACACTCGTGCCAACCTTTAAAAATAATAGATTCGTCCTTTTCGCCGTCTTAACTGAGAACACGCTTCCTAGAGTACGGTTTTTGTTTTGATTGTTACAAACGTATAGATAAGTTGTTAATTGTAGGCATTCAAAAAAATAAAATCTGTCAAAAATCGTATCATTTTTTACCTTTTAAACACTAAATAAATATAAAAAAAAATTAAAATACAAACATAAACTTTGGTCCTTCTAACCAAGATACGAGCACCAGTGATAAGTGGTCAAATTCAACAAAGGTAGTTATCGTAGTTGCGTGGCTTGCGCGGTGCAGCTTGGAGTTGGTGAAACTTGGGAGCCTTCTTCAGAAGTCGAATTCTAAGTGATGTCTATTTTATCATCAATGTGGTGTCAAATACACGTTACCGATTACGATATTGTGTTTCGGATAAATTAATCCCAAAAAATCACGTCATAATGGGAACAAACTGGAAAGACCATCCCAATCCACTACCGCAGCTCCTACTATAATTAACTGATAACAGAAGACTCAAAAAAGTTGACCAATGAACCTTAATGAACACTAATGTAACAGCATATGATATTAGCATTTCTATGACATTAAATGTACTTACTATTATTGTCAATATGTAGAAGCCATCATATTGATTCATAGATTGTAGTTAATCTGATTCCCAATAAGAAATTAAAAAAACTAAACATATAGTGAGTACTGCTACCTACTGTATTTAATATTCTTATTGCTATGTTTATAAAATTGCAATTCATTAAATGTAAATCATATTACATTATTATACAGAACACGTTGTCTTTGTTATTATTTGTCATTATCATTACGAAGACATACATAATTATGTACGTACTCGTACAATTTGCATGCACGCATGTCTTGATGAGAAGCTTTTAAAGTGATGATGGTCTTTAATTTTCTATCTTTATCAATAGAAGAAATAAAAAAATCTTAAAGAAATAAACAAAACGTTTCCAAATTCGATACCCAAAAACTGGTTGAGCAAGGAATAATTAATAAAAAAGAGCAATTTTCTCTTTTCTGTCCTTTAATCAATATTAATTAAACAAACAAAAAATAAAAATGAAAAGAATAAAAAGTTATAAAATAAAAAACATATCTATTTTATTTATCTATCGATGTCTTCGGACCCAATGGTACGAGTAGCTGTAAATCTACATCATCCTCCTCTAGAAATTTTAACTAAAATCTGTTCTACAAACAAAAAATTCCTAAACAATCATCTACATCTTATAATTTTCGCAAAGCAGATTTTCCTAGAATGTATAGTGAGCTACTAAAAGTAGATAGGTCATTCCTTGATATTATAAAAAATGTTGATAATGCGTGTGTACAATAAATTAAATGAAATATTTTTAGAACATGTTCCTAAAAAAATTATCAAAAACTTTAAAAACTCTTTATATCCTGCATGGTTTTCAGGAAATATAATCAGGAAATTAAATAAAAAAAAAAAAAAAAAAGCTATGGAAAATATAAATCAACCGGGAATGTAACTTATTATGTGCAGTTTAAAATAATTCGCAGGGAGGTAAAAACGGAAATATCAAGCTCCGATCTAATTTTTTAAAAAATGTCGAGAGAAATTTATCTGATAATCCTAATCAATTTTGCGTAATAAATCAAGTCTACCAAAGTCAATGAATTATCAAGGTTTTAGCATGTCAAATTCTGTAGACATAATTAATTCGTTTGCAATTTTTTTTCCAATCTGTCTTTATTAGCTCAACAACCTTCGACAATTGTGATGATTTTCAAGTACCTAATGTACCTACTTTGTCAATCCCCTATGTATCCGAGGATACTGTCTTTAAAAAACTAAAATGTTTGATATCGAAAATGACCACTGGACCAGATGGCATTCCCTCGTTCATTATAAAAGATTGTGCTATTATTTTCGTCCAACTTATTACCAAAATTGTTAATCTTGCTTTAAAAACTTGTTCTTTTCCTAAAGTTTGGAAGCAAGCTAAGATATGCCCGATAGTTAAAAAAGAAATAACATAGAAAACTACAGACCCATTTCTATCTTATACAATTTTTGTAAAGTATTTGATATGGTAAACTCACAGATTGTGAAGGATCAACATGGATTTGATTTAGGCAGATCTACGGTTACTAACTTGTTTAATGTTACACAGTTCATCTCTAAGGAATTAGACGGTTCTGGTCATTTATACCAATTTTTCTAAAGCATTTGATAGACTAGACCATGGTATTCTTCTTAAAAAACTTTCACAGTGTGGCTTAACAAAATATTTAATTGCATTTTTTAATTCTTATCTATATAGGAGGATTTTAAGAGTTAAGTACTATGGTCACAAATCTACCGAGATAACTGCAACATCTGGTGTTCCTCAAGGGCCAGTCCTTGGGCCATTGTTATTTATAATTTTTATAAATGACATCTGCCTAAACTTGAAATGTCATATTCTTTTATATGCTGATGATTGAAAACTTTACACAAAAATAAATTCCATCAATGATTCCATTAATCTTCAAGACAACCTAGTGACATTGTACAATTGGTGTAAACATAACTTGCTGCCATTAAGTATTAAAAAATGTAATTGTATATCATTTACTCGTAAAAAGCAACCGGTAATTTTTGACTACCACATTAATGGCACCAATTTGATAAGATGTACTAGTTTTAAAGGCTTGGGAATTATTTTTAACAGTAAATTCACCTTGATTGAGCATAGCAATACCATTGTCTCATCATTGGTTTTTTAACCAAGAATTATAAATTTTTTGTGGAAAGCAAATCCGTCCAACTTCTATTTGATGCGTTTTTAAGACCGAAGCTTGAATATGCTTTCATATGTTGGTGTTCTTGGTACGGTGTACACATTAATAACATTGAATCTGTACAGTGACGTTTTCTCAAAACACTCTGTTATAGAATAGATAATGTAAAATTATCTTTAGTGATGAGGCTCACTTCCATTTGAATGGCTTTGTGAATAAACGAAACTGTCTGATTAGGGGGAAGAGCATCCAAATGCCGTGCACGAGTTTCCAATGCATCCTCAAAAAGTGACAGTTTGGTGCACCATTTGGATAGGAGGGATCATCGGACTTTTTTTTTTTAAATAAAGAATGTGTTTTGTGACTGTAAATGATGATCGCTACCGTAGCATGCTGAGAGACTTTCTTTGGCTGGAATGAATAGAATGGACATAAATAACTTGTGGTTTTAACAGGACGGCACGACCTGTCACACCGCACGCGAAACAATGGCGTTACCGCAAACAAAATTCCCAGGTCGTGTCATTTCTCGATTTGAAGACCAAAACTCGCCACCGAGATGTTGCGATTTGACGCCCTTAAACTATTTCCTCTGGGAGTATTTAAAAAGTAGAGTACATGGAAACTATTCCGAGATGATTCGACAACTGAAGGAAGAAATCGAACGTAATATTCGTGAAATCCAGCCGATTTTACTCGAAAACTTCTTCCAAAATTTTGTCAAACGAATATACACCTGCCAACGGAGCATTTCCATTTGACAGATATTTTGTTTTATGTTTAATGTCAACAATTTCTCTTGAAAATCCAATAAAATATTCGCATAATTTTTTTTAATTAATGTTTTCTTTGTCATCAAAAATTCAAGTTCTTGTTGGGACACCCTTTACTTCAGAGGTTCAATTCGCATAAAAATGAGCTGTAAAATGTTTAATGGAAAGATGAATTTGAGACGTACATAGAGAGAAGAGAAGGGGACCAAGAATAGAACCTTGTGGAACCCCATTAAGTAATAGTTTTTAGATGAAAATAAATTACCTACTAATACTCTCTAAGACCTAGGGCTTAAATAACTTCTTATAAATAAGGAAGCTTTTAGACAAAAACCAATATGGTGCAAGATAGATACAAGTTGAAGATGATGCACCCTATCAAAAGCTTTACTATAGTCAATTAAAACTAATACATATAACTTCTTATTATCTATGACTTGATAA